ATTTAGGTGTACGTCGGATGCTGGCAGATTTGAAACTTTGGTACAGGACCAATTCAGTGCCATACAGCTATCAGGTTTCGAACTTGACGCCACATATGATGGGAAGCGATTGGCGCAGGGAGCTGAAAACAAAAGCTGCGGAGACTGGGGTTATGTTGGGATACGCGCTGAATTTATTGAAACGTGTTCAGCTCGACAAAGGAAGAGAATTGTTGATCGCAGGGGATGCTTTGCAAGATTATATGCACATGCTGAAAGTTTCCCCTCGAATTCCAGACAGGCATACGTGTGCACGGCTGTTGGATTTATGTGTGCGACATGTAGATGTAGCTATCATGGCAGGAATAGAACCTACACCAAAACATCATTTATTTGTGCACATGACGCTACGGATACCCTGGGCAGGAAATCCCAGATACTATGCGTGCTTCTTGGACGAGGGCCTCAACGCTACTATTGCAGCAATCGCAGCCGCTTCACATAAGAGGAGGTGGGAATATGGTGTATTCAAGAGGGTACGCCTACTACCTACAGTTGAGGCTAACTCGTGTTGGGCAACTGCTTAACTTTCAACGGGGTGGTCCTAGCTACGAGGGCACCCTTCTCCTCGTTCCTCACTCTCCTCCTCGCCCTCCTCTTCCTTCTAGAAGCTCCTATCCTTATAATTCCTTCCCTTCCCCCCTCGCTCGAGGCTCGTATCTAGGACCACCCCCCATCAGCTGGAGATATTGCGGCTCGAGCAGAACATGACGCTCGCAACTGGGCTGCAGCGGGGGGGGGGCGAACATATAATATGCATCCTCCTCCTCGTCCTCCTCCCTCCTCCTCCTCCTCCTCCTCCTCCTCGGATCAGTCCCTCTCATTATCATTTGACCTATCATATCTCTCCTCCCATTCCTTCTCGCCCCCATCACCCTTCTCGGTGATGTGTCCTCCTCCTCCTCCTCCTCTTCCAGCCCCCCCCTGAGGTCGAATGCATATTAAGTTGAGCCCCCCCCCCTCAGATGCCGAGGGGGCCCGATTTCGATTCTGAAACCTACTTCTGTCGCCTGGATCGATGGTGGTTTACACTGGATGATGTGAAATGGGTCTCGCATGGCGAGTGGTGGCAGCTTTGCAACGAGAAGTACAAGGGGTGCCCGCCTAGCAGCGACAACGACTCCGACGACGACATGGGCAGCAACAACGACGGCGACAAGGGCGTGGGCAGCAACAACGACGGCGACAAGGGCAACAAGGGCAGCAACAACGACGGCGACAAGGGCATGGTCGACAGCAACAACGACGGCGACAAGGGCGTGGGCAGCAACAACGACGGCGACAAGGGCAGGGGCAGCGACGGCGACAAGGACATGGGCCAGAACGACGGCGACAAGGGCATGGGTGGCAACGACGGCGACAAGGGCATGGGCAGCGCCGACGACGCGACCGACGGCGACGCGATGAGGAGGAGGAGAAGGAGGAGGAGGAGGAGGAGGAGGAAGAGGAGCTAGGAGGAGGAGGAGGAGCAGCAGCAGCAGCAGCAGCAGGAGGAGGAGTAGGAGGAGGAAGAGGAGGATGAGAAGGAGGAGAAGGAGGAGGAGGAGGAGGAGGAGGAGGAGGCGGGCCCTCGCGAGGCAACACCGTGCGCGAGATGACGCTCGAGCAGGAGCTCGAGGCCATGATCGGCTGAGGATCCGTTTTCTCCTCCTCCTCCTCCTCCTCCTCCTCCTCCGAGAACCCTTGTCCGAGACGGCTGGGGAACATCCTACTCCAGGAGATGACCAAACGCAGCCTCCCAGTCAAGCTCGCCGCCAAGAAGCGTCTCAAGTGGACACACGGCTCGGGAGGAATGTGGAACTACTGTGAGGAGGACAAAGTTTACACCAAAGTCTGGTATACGGAGTACTATGACACGTGGTTCGACCCCGAATCGGGCTGGCCTCACCCCGTTGTATGGTACCTGTCTGACTACTGGTGGGACGGAGACTTCTTCGTGGAAAAGTGGCGTTGGAAGTACCCGTGAAGGCCATCCTTGGGACTCCTTCAGACCGAATCTCCTGGTGTCTGCGGTGCATGGGCCTGCGGCTTTTGGAGGACTCAGTCTCCCTCAATCTCTCTTGCATGTGCTTCAACGTTGTTGGTTGGCAAAATACAAAAGGTTATAAACACCCCAGCCATCTTGCGTTTTCCATACCTGTTTGAATTCAACCATATTCCATATTTCGTGACATGCATGGTGTGGGTTTTCAAGGTTGGGACCTCACTCTGCTATGACAGTTCATCTTGTATGCCTCCGTATCTTCTGGGTTCATTGCGTGCTTGGGACATCTAGTTTATTTTTCAGATTCTCTTTCAGTACATATACTTCTTGGCTGTTACTTAGGTTCAATGGGTTTCATGGGACTCAATGGAAGTCTTCTTCACTTCTTACTTACTTTAGACTTAGGGACCTTATGCCCTCAAGGTCGGCTCCAAGAGTTACTCAATCTATTGTTAATCAATTTGGGCATCCTTCATT